GAGGGAAATCTGATCAAAGTTCACAATTTTGTGGATCATGACAGTGCATCCCTCCCGACGGTACTCTTTATAGGAAAGATTTCCATTGTTCTTGAAGATCCCCGGAAGACGGAAGGTGTTCGAAGGATAGGTATCAACAAGCAGACCCACCAAGATTCGTCGAAGAGGAAGACTGCACAAATTAAAGGGCTCCCTAGACTGATAATCCTCCACGACACCTCTAAGGACAATTCCAAAGGCAAAAAGGGCATCACACGACGAAGTTGGGACATGCCCATTGCGGAAAGCCCTTAACAGACGTGGAGGCCAAACAGAAAGGTACCGTGGACTCGGTTCCCCCACAGCTAAAACATGTAGAGCTTTTACTCCATAGGATTTATCTGAAAGGTTGATTAGGATAGGAGAGGATTGAGCCAACTTTGAAGGAGGAACATCATCGCCAAAAATGAAAGTCATATAAGGTGGAAGATCCTCAAAGGGAACATGATAAGAGGCAAGACCAGCACATATAAAATTAAAGGCTTTAGATCTTTCAGATTTTGGAAATTTGGAGAGGATCCGATCCACAGGACCAACGATATCATTCCCAAATCCTGAGAGCCATTCAATTAGACGTCGAAATCGTGAGGCAGTTCTTGCAGCATTATTCGATGTTGCATAAGGCTGCTGCTGCGTTCCTCCAGGAAGATAAGCATGAAAGTAATATGGAGGAACATAATCATTCCCATTGAGAACAGCGAATAGTGGAATTTGAATTGGAGAAAGGTTACGGAAGGTAATACTCTCAGTTGCTGTATACTGCTCAGCAGAAATGTAGAAACCCTCATTAGACTCATGGGTAGTAAAAAAATCACAAGATTCTGTAGGGACGTAAATCAATTCACAGCCCTTGTTAGCCCAATAAGGACCAAGGATAAAATAGTCGGAGTCATTAGATATAAGGGGAACACCAAGATGCATTGCCATAGCAGCGGCTAACTGATCTGCCTCAAAATCGACAACAACGTAGCGGGCGCCAAGTCGTTCTAGAGTTCGGAAAAATGTCTTATTAATGAGGGTTGGATCAATAGACACTCGGAAATCCGCTGAAGTCCCATCTCGAGGTGGTCCACGTGTTGAATTTTCTTGAAGATGCGACAAAGTGATAATTCGATCCGTGTTTCGTTTTAAGACAGTATCTAATTTGGAAAACTGCAGAAATGAAACAGGAAATGAGCTAGCAAATGGATGGCAAAAGGAATTAGAAATCCACAAACCTCATGCAGGCCATCAAAGATAAATATAGGTTCAAGATTACACTTCTTTAGATTTAGTAAAAATTCTTCTACAATAATGTCGAACGCAAAATATTCGCCGTTATACTGGGTGTAGAGAGACGGATGCAAATATAACTTGGATATTATGTTATAGCCATCCAGAATTATAAATGAATTTCTCAACTGGATGGGGCGAAAATTGCCCTGTTCTTTTCGAATGTATGAGAAGAGTCCCCTCACTCCCATTGTCTGAGCCAATCAACCCCCAATGCACAATGCCTTTTATCAACCCAATTT